AAAATAGGGGCTAGGAAGCTGGCTCAGTGGTAGAGCGCTTGCCATGCACGCATGAGGCCCTGGGTTTGATTCCTCAGCACCACATAAGCAAAAAGAAAGCCAGAAGTGGTGCTGTGGCTCAAGTGGTAGGTAGAGCACTAGCCTTGAGCTGAAAAGCTGAGGGACAGCACCCAGTTCAGGCCCCACGACTGGGCACCCCCCCCCCCAAAAAAATGAAAAAAATAAAATAATAAGATTGTCTAGCAAGTACAAAATGAGCTTACATTTTTCTGCCTGGTAATTTTTTGGAACTTAGTATAAATCATAAGTATTTAAATTTTCATTTGAATTCTTGCCTTTTCCTCTTTGGTTCTTTGCACTTAATTTTATTACTTTAGTTATGAAGGCAAAATAGGAATGCCAATCTGAAATGCCTACTAAAATCATTTTTTTCCCTAGTACTTAGATTTGAACTCAAGGCCTCCTGCTTGTTAGGTGGTGCTCTTCCACTTGAGTTATGCCTCCAACCCTGCTTATGCTGGTTATTTTTAGACAGGGCCTTGTGAACTTTTCTGCCTTGGCTGGCCTCGAATTTGAACCTTCTGCTCTCAGCCTCCTGAGTAGCTAGGATTGTGGCAAAAATCACCAGCGCCCAGCTAAAAAGATAATTTCCATAAGTGAGTAGAATGAAATCTGAGCACTGTTGGCTCTTAACAATTTAGCCACTACGAGGCTGAGACCTGTGGTTTGAAATGAACCTGGGTCTTGTTTGTTTTTGTTTTTTTTGGAACCTGGGCTCTTTTATCTCCAATTAACCAGCAAAATTCCAAAGTGGTGACATGGCTCAAGTTATAAAGCACCAGCCAAGAGTGGAAAAAGCTCAGCAAGAGGCTTAGAGAGCAAGTCTCAGTATCAGCATAAAAATATAGCTCAAGCATTGTTGTTTGAATTAGGTGACACTACAAACTCTTGTCTGTTCTGCCACATTATTAGTTGTATTGATGGCTTTAGATTTTTTTTTTTTTTTTGTCGTTCATGGGGCTTGGGCGCTGTCCCTCAGCTCTTCAGCTCAAGGCTAGTGCTCTACTACTTGAGCCACAGCACCACTTCCGGCTTTTTTCTTTTTGTTTATGTGGTGCTGAGGAATTGAACCCAGGGCCTCAGGCATGCAAGGCAAGCGCTCTACCACTGAGCCACCTTCCCAGCCTGGAGATAACTTTTTGTTACCTGACTTCCACCTTCCAACACAGCCTAGCTGGTCTTAAATGGGGTGCCTTAGCCTTCTGAATGCAGGGATTGCAGGCATATGCCATCATGCCCAGGTGCCTTTTTTGAAAAACAAGGAAAAATTAGTGGAAATTGTAGAGTCCAAAAACTATGAAGGTTGATTTTTTTTTTTCCTGTCTAATTGGTACATATCCCCAGGTCAGGAGACTTGAGTACTTGTTTCAAGTGGGTAGAGAAGCTGTAAATAAAATTTCCTTTCAGTATAGTATTGAAACTAAATCAAGAAGTCCTAAATTCTTTGTGAAGACTATTAATTAAAAGTGACAAATATCAAGAACCTAAAGCCAGAAACAGAAAAGTCTATCTCTAACAGGTCCAAGTCTAAGGAAACATGCTTTCAATGAATTGGCATGATGGGGGAGAACTAATAAGATAGAATGTAGCCAACCACTGAGCTTTAGAGATAACATTTAATCTCAAATACGCTTACTATAGGGTGTGTGTGTGTGTGTGTGTGTGTGTGTGTGTGTGTGTGTGTGTGTGTGTGTGTGTGTGTGTGTGTGTGTGTGTGTGTGTGTGTGTGTGTGTGTGTGTGTGTGTGTGTGTGTGTGTGTGTGTGTGTGTGTGTGTGTGTGAAGAAGCTGCTCTCTTGATTGAGCAGGATTCAACCTGACATCTAACCAGCTCCTACGTAATTACTTCAGGCCCAGCACTTTGAATTTGTTTCATCTTTCAACAATTACCATTTTGTCATCATCTGTTTTGTCATGTACCCTGTCCCTGCTCAAGTTTGGAACATTTCTCGCTGGCCTTCTGAGAAACTAGGACAGGTGCTAGTAGGCTTATTTATTTATATTTATTTTGGCATTGGAAATTGAACCCAGGACATTGCGCTTGCTAGGCAAATGTCTTGCCACTGAGCTGTACTCCAACCCAAATCCTTCTTAATATTGGAACTTTTTTTGGTCGGTCATGGGGCTTGAACTCTGGGCCTACGTGCTGTCTCTCAGCTCTTGAGTTCAAGGCAAGCACTCTACCACTTAAGCCACATCACCACTGTTTTCCAATGGTCTTATTGGAATAAGAGTCTTAAGACTTTCCTACCTAGGCTGGCTTTGAACCGAGATCCTCAGAACTCAGGCTCCTGAGTAGTCAGGATTACAGGTGTAAGCCACTGGTGCCCAGCTAAAATTGGAACTTCCAATGAACAGTTTAGTTTTAACCATCAGTGTCATCATTGGTGTTGTAAATACAAAGCATACCCCCTCACCTACAAATAACTCACAAACTTCAAAACTTAATGTTAGCATATGCCAATGACTCATACATGTAATCCTAGCTATTGAGGCTAATGTATGGAAGGTTGATCTTTGAGGCCAAAAAAGTTCACTAGACTCCCATCTCCAATGCAATCAGCAGAAAGCAGGGCTGGAGATACGGTTCTACAGCACTAGCCAAGCAAGCATGCTGAGCAAGTGCAAAGCCCTAAGTTCAAACCCTTGGAGGGGAGTATGAGGACAGTCCCAGAAAGTTTTTTTTTAATACTTTTTTTATTGTAATAATACTGTACAGAGGGGTTACAGTTGCATGAGCAAGGTAATGAGTAATTTCCTATCAAGCATTGTTGCCTCCTCCTTTGAAGAGTTTCTTATAGTATGTGTATATTCCAATTTTATTTTATGTTATTTTTGTCAATTGTGGATCTTGAACTCTGGGCTTAAGTGCTGTGCTGTGAGCTCTTCAGCTCAAGCACATACTCTACCACTTGAGCTACAGCGCTGCTTTTTTTTTTTTTTTGTCAGTTGTGGAGCCTGAACTCTGGGCCTGGGTGCTGTCCCTGACCTCTTCAGCTCAAGGCTAGCACCACTCTCGGCTTTTTCTGTTTATGTGGTGGTGAGGAATTGAACCCAGGGCCTCATGCATGCAAGGCAAGCACTCTACCACTGAGCCACCTTCCCAGGCCCTACTTCTGGTTTTCTAAGTGGTTTATTGGAGACGAGAGTCTCACAGACTTTCCTGCCAGGCTGGCTTTGAACCCGTGATCCATAGATCTCAGCCTCCCGAGTAGCTAGGATTACAGGTGTGAGTCAGCAGTGCCCAGCTATTCCAAATTTTTTAACTCATTCAATCTATTTGAGGTAATACCTTACAGTTCTTTGTACTATGGGCATTTCATACTAACAGTCTGCAATCAAACTGAATGAAAGTCCACAAACAGATGAAATTAGTCTGTATTTGTTCACAGGAACTGTTTTTTTGGTGTGATTCTCCCCCTATACTGGTGAACAAAAGGGTAAAAACCCACCTTATGATTCAAGAGGTGAGAAATTCAGATACCTTAGCCTTTCAAACTCGTTCTGTTAAATGAAGATAAACAATACTTCCTTCTTACAGTTCCCTACTTAAATATGAAGCTTTTTGTGTGTGAAAGCTACAGAAATCTATACTGGAGTAGTGTTGAGTGTGGTGGAAATAAGTGAATTGGCATTGGGGTGAATAGGTACCTGGGGATTTCTTTGAAAGTAGGGCATAGGGTCTACATAGTAAAGGCTGACTTACACCTCATGATCCTCTGTCTTCCAGATGTGACCATAGACATGCCCAACAATTCCCAGTTTAAGAGTCTAACATTTTTTAAAGAGAAAGTTAATTTGGCCTGCTGCTGCATATTTCCTTTTACGTTTGTGGCCTCACTGTGTATCTGCAAGTTGCTATGCTGCTCACGCTGGTGTAGAACACACTGTTTTGTCAAAGCCTCCTAGTGTTGGGATTGAGGTGTTGTGTACTCCCTCCAAACCCAGTACTGGAGATTCCACCCCAAAGTCTTGTGCATGTTAAGGAATTGCTCATTAACTTTCACCTTTCAGTTTCCTGATTACCAGTAGGTTTCAACATTATCTCGTGATAGCATTTCTGTATTTTTTTTTTTTTTTTACTTTGATGGCATTTGTTTTTTTGTTTTCGTTTTTTGTTTTTTTACTTTGAATTGCATATAAGTGCGAGAGAGATAGGCTGGTCTCTGTCACATCTTGGATAATAGTGCCACAGGCTGGACAAAGTCTGGCAGATGCAAGCAAACAAGTGTCTGAGCAAACCAGTAAACCAACTACTGTTAGGTTTGGGATTTCTAAAATAGGACCTATTGGATGCTGTGTGAAAGCTTACCTTGTTTCTCACGTTCGCTCCACCCTCCGAAGTTTTCATGTATTGGACAGAAAAAGGGAGACAGACACAGCGATAGAGCTGGTCCGCATTTTGAGTACTATAGAGAAATAGAAGCTGTTAGGTTTGTGATGCCTTCACTTGCAGACTGGGAGAAACGCGGAGCCTGCCTCGCGCCTGTCTCCCAAGCCAGCAGCCGCAGCCCACCCGGCCCCGCGCTTCCAGCCAGTGGGCTCAAGGGCGCGAGGCGCGCGTTGCGCGTTGCCGGAAGCTCCGCCCCCATCCCTAGGGCTGCTGGCCAACGACGCCAGAGCCGGAAATGACGACGCGGGTGAGGCCTCCAGGGCGGGGCCTGGGACGGGCAGCTTTGAGGGCCGCGATTTCACATCGGAAACAAAACAGCGGCGGCTCCAGAGGAAATCTGGCTGGGAGCGGGCGGCCTCAGCCGGGAAGGAGAAGGTGCGTGATTGGGAGTCTGAGTGGGCGGCGGTCAGGAGCACCCCTGACCCAGTCCCGACACGGGCGGACGCGGTCAGGGCCCGGTCCTTTGTGGCCGCGGGCCGCGGAGCCGGTGTCCTCGAGGCTCAGGGGCGGGGCGCGGCCGGGCCGAAACAGAGGAAGCCCCGCGTGGGAAACGAGGAGAGGCGACCGGTTTCTCGGGCTGTGGGCGCGGTGCGGCCAAGTTGCAGCGCGAACTCTCGCAGAGCCTCGGTCCGGAAACCTGGGCCTCTCCGGGGCGACTCCGGCTGCGGGGGCCGGGAGCCGGGATTGGCCGCCTTGACTGGGGTGCAGCGGGGGAAGGGGCAACGCCCGGCCGGGGGCTGCCGGAGCAAGTGAGTCCTGAGTTTGTCTCTGTCCCGAAGTGAGTGGCGCTCGGGGCTGAGTTCCCCTGGTCTCGCTGGCCAGGTGAAGACGCCTCCGGTGCTGCTTCCTTCCTCGGGACTGTCACGGTGCTGTGTGCCCGATGCTTGCCGAGGGTCTCGTTCCCCCCCCCCTCCCCCTTTTCGTCCCTCTCAGTCTTCAGTGTGTAACACTGTTGGGGTTATAGTGGTTGGTTTTATGGACATCAAGACTGGTAGCGGAGTCTGCAGTGCAGAAGGGAATTGAAGTGACTTTTCTTTTTACATGATTCAGGAGATCAAATGAGGGTTTGATCTCTGATATATGTTGGCAGAATCTTAGGTGATCCGGACATGGCAACCAACTGAGGAGCGAGGCGGAAAGTGTAAAGTTGGCCCAGGAGACTAAATTTAGATAATGGGAAGAGGCCATCTCAGAAATAAGGAAGTTGGGGAAAAAAAAGAACTGATGAGGAAGTTTCGCTTTTGAAATGTCAGTGGGTGAGGGTCCAGGACATGAGCTGTAAACATGAGTCACTTTGGATAGACTTACTAGTTGATATTGGAGGTGTAGAGGACGTGCCCAAGGGACAGACACATAGGAACACTTAGAAGGACCCAGTGGAAGGAGGCAGCTGAGGAGAATGAGTGGTAGGAAGAGAGCCGCTGTAATTCGGTGTCACAAAAGCTAAGAAAGTTGTTTAATTACAGAAGCAATATCTGATTCTGTAATATCCCCAGCATCTATCACACTTTCTGGTTACAGAAGAAAACTAGTGAGTGTTGGGGTTTGTTGTTTGTTTTTTAAAATACTGCAGGGGTTTTTTGATAATTTTTTTTATTTTTAATGTTTTTTATTGTGAAAATACTATACAGAGGAGTTACAATCACCTGAGTAAGATAATGAGTACATTTCTTATCAAGCATTGTTGCCTCCTCTGTTTTTCCCTTAGTGGGTTTTGTTTTTGTTGGTCGTGGGGCCTGAACTCTGTCTGGGCCTGGGTGCTGTCCTTGAGCTCTTCAGCTCAAGGCTAGTGCTGTACCACATGAGCCACAGCGCCACTTCCAGCTGTTTCTTCTTATGTGGTGCTGAGGAATCGAACTCAGGGCCTCCCGCATGTGAGGCAAGCACTCTACCACTGAGCACCTTCCCATCCCCAAATACTGCGGTTTGAACTAGGTATTTTAAGGAATTTTCTAAGCAGGCCTTCTACCACTTGAGCCATGCCCCCAGCCTTTTTTTTGTCGTTTTAGTTATTTTTCAGATAGGGTTTTCTGTTTTTACCCAGGACAGACATCAGACTGCAATTCTGAACTAAAAGGCACATTCCACCATGCCTACTTGTCAGTTAAGATGGGGTATCACTTTTTGCCTTTGATCCTTTAAACCAATATCCTCCTGATCACTGCCTCCTAAGTAGTTGGAATTACAAGTTTCTGCATTGCAGAAACCCAGTGTTTGCTGGTTAAAGAGTGTTAATTTTTGGTTCACAATTCTTCATTCAGTCCCTTGTTTAACTTGAGCCAAAAGAATGCGGGCAAGAGATTGGCAAATTAAATTTAACTAATCACTTTTTATTTAAAACTAGCTATGTTATATATTGATTTCCACAGAAGATTTGAGACAGTCACTCATAATGGACATGTCTTTATTAGAGACTTATTAGAGACTTTATTATAGTCTTAACATTTTGGGGAAATAATCTTTATAATTAAGAGCTTAAGGCAGGAGTGATAGTGCATACCTGTAATACCAGCTACTGAGAAAGTAGAGGCCAGAGCCTAAGCCAGTGTGGGCAATACTTCAAGGCCCTGTCTTGAAGGGAAAGGGAAAAAGAAGAGGGAGCTTGTGGGGGAGGGAATGTGATAGTACAAGACCATAGTTCCATATCCATAGTTCTGAAATGTAAACATCAAAAGGTCTTTCATTAGCTAATTTAACAGGAAAATTTGACCTAGTACCTAGCTAAGGTTATTTTATTTCTTTTTTGTTGTTGTTTTTGTTGGTCATGGAGTCTGAACTCTGAACCTGGGCACTGTCCCTCAGCTCTTCAGCTTAAGGCTAGCACTCTACCACTTGAGCCACAGCGCCACTTCCGGCTTTTTCTGCTTACGTGGTGCTGAGGAATCGAACCCAGGGCCTCATGCATGCAAGCAAGCACTCTACCACTGAGCAACCTTCCCAGCCCCAACTAAGGTTATTTTATGTATTTTGAAGATTGTTCGTGTTTCACTGTGTTTGATTTGGGTGATTCTAAAACACTTGGGGACACTAAAGAACATTTTTATTTTTTTATTTTTTTTGTCAGTCATGGGGCCTGAATTCTGGACCTGGGCACTGTCCCTCAGCTCTTCAGCTCTAGGCTAGCACTCTACCACTTGAGACACAGCACCACTTCCGGCTTTTTCTGTTTATGTGGTGCTGAGGAATCAAACCCAGGGCCTTATACATGCAAGGCAAGCACTCTACCAGTGAGCCATCTTCTTAGCCCAGGAAGAACATATTTGTATCATATTACCTTTATTTATTTATTAATTTTAATTTTTGGGTCTGGTCGTGAGGCCTGAACTCTGGGCCTGAGCGCTGTCCCTCAGCTCTTCAGCTCAAGGCTAGCACTCTACCACTTGAGCCACAGTGCCACTTCTGGCTTTTTTCTTTTTGCTTATGCGGTGCTGAGGAATTGAACCCAGGGCCTCAGGCATGCAAGGCAAGCACTCTACCACTGAGCCACCTTCCCAGCCCTCATATTACCTTTAAAAGATTCAGAAACTGACTTTTAAATGTCCTAAAGGTTTCACATAAGGAATTCTGGGTTCAATCTTCAGAGCCAGCAGTATCATTTTAAAACAAGTTGCTACAGTAACTATATAAAAGACATCCCCCAAACTCAGCAGCTTGGTGGTTTCTCACTCTGCTTCAAGGTGTAGGTGTGGATTAGCTGGGACCATTTGCATCTTCTGGGGCTCAGGCTGAAGAGAACAGTATCCATGCTAAGCTCTTCTCAAGGCAGCATCAGATGTGCAAGAAGGCAAGGCCAACTTCACAGCATAGCTCAAGTGTCTGCTAGCATCACAGCTACTAAGATTGCATTGATCAAGTCATAATCATGCCCAGAGCTTAGGGTGAGTAGGAGACTGCACCTTTTACAAAAGCCAAGGCCAGTGTCACTACAAGAAATGCAGTGGTTCCTTGATATCAGATACCAAAATCTTAGTACACATCAGTGCTTTTATAAAATGGTGTATATTTTAGGGCTGAGGACTTAGTTCAGTGATAGTAGAATGCTTGCTTACCTAGTATGTGAAGGAAACTGGGTTTGATCCTCAGCACTGCTAGAAAAAAAGAATTGAGCCAGGTGCCAGTGGCTTAGGCCTGTAATCCTAGCCTCAGGAAGCTGAGATCTAAGGATTAAGGTTCAAAGCCAGTCCAGGCAGCAAAGTTCATGAAACTTTTATCTCCAAATAACCAACAAAAAGCTGGAAGTAGTTCAGGTGGTTGGTAGAGCGCTATCCTGGAGTGTAAAAGCTAAGGGACAGTGCTTAAGGCTGGGCCCCAAGTTCAAGCCTCAATACTTGCATATAAGCTATAAGCTACACAGTCCTCCAGTAGCCTATAAATTATCTGAGATTCTAATACTAAATACAATGTAAATGTTATGTACATAGTTATTCTATATTGTTTATAGATGAGGAACAATGCTATAATGACAAAAAGAAAATCTGTACATGTTCAGTACAGATAAAAATTCTGTCTTTTTGCCAATTTTTTTTTTTTTTTTGCCAGTCCTGGGGCTTGAACACAGGGCTTGGGCCTGTCTCTGAGCTTCGTTTGCTCAAGGCTAGCACTCTTCCACTCGAGCCACTTCTGGCTTTTTCTGTTTATGTGGTATTGAGGAATCAAACCCAGGGCTTCATGCATGCTAGGCAAGCACTCCTCAGCCACATTCCCAGCCCGTGCCAATTTTTGTTTGTTTTTTTGTCGGTCGTGGGGCTTGAACTCTGGGCCTGAGTGCTGTCCCTCAGCTCTTCAGCTCAAGGCTAGCGCTCTACCACTTGAGTTACCGCGCCACTTCCATGCCAAATATTTTTAATCTTTGGTTGTTTGAATCCAAGGATGCTGAAGCTGAGGATGTGGATGGTATATTTCTCCCTTGGTGATGGGAGGAATGGGAGGGATGGATGGAAGAAATATTTTCTGAATAATGACCTAACCTACCACAGATGGTTCACAGAGGTGGAGTGGGATGGAAGGGGGAAAAATCACTAAATAGGATGTATCACCATTCTTGCTCTTTTTAGCATCAACCACTTTCAAAAAGTCTCAGGGCTGGGAAAATAATTTATTTTTAATTTTTTTATTTTTTATTGTGAAAATACTGTACAGAGGTGTTACAATTACATGGGCAAGATAATGAGTACATTTCTTATCAAGCATTGTAGCCTCCTCCTTTGTTTCCCCTTCCCATCCCTTCCCATCCTCCCCCCACCCCCCCACCTACTTTTAATATTTTAAAAATTGAAAGAAGCTGGGCACAGGTGGCTCCTGCCTGTGATCCTAGCTACTCAGGAGGCTGAAATCTGAGGATCATGGTTCAAAACCAGCCCGAGCAGGATTGTCCATGAGACTCTTATCTCTAATTAACCACTCAGAAAACCGGAAGTGGCAGTATGGCTTAAATGATAGAGCACTACCCTTGAGTTAAAGAGCTGAAAAACAGTGCCCAGGCACTGAGTTCAAGCTCCATGACTGGAAAAAAAAAAAAAAAAAGAGTACAGGATGTATTCCTGAGGTTTTTAAGTTATTTTTATTCCAGTTATAGAACACAGTTTGGTTTGGTTATATTTGTATTTGAATCTGAGCCTTTATATCAAGCAGAGTCAGATGTAGTAGCACATTCCTGTAATTCTAGCATTCTGCAATCAGCAGCAGGAGTGTTGAGTTCAAGGCTAGCATTAAGATAAATACTGAGGGCTGGGAATGTGGCTCAATGGTAGAGTGCTTGCCTAGCATGCATGAAGCTCCAGGTTCAATTCCTCAGTACCACATAAACAGAAAAAGGCCTGAAGTGGCTCTGTGGCTCAAGCCTAGCCTTGAGCCAGAGAAGCTCAGATATAGTGCCCGGGCCCTGAGATTGGGCTCCGTGACAGGCAGGGGAAAAAAAAAGGGTAAATACTGAGACTCTGTCTCAATCAAATTAAATACTTAACTAATAAAAATCCAAGTAGGGCTGGGAATGTGGCTCAGTGGTAGAGTGCTTGCCTTGCATGCATGAGGCCCTGAGTTCAATTCCTCAGCACCACATAAGCAAAAAGAAAAAAGCTGGAAGTGGCGCTATGGCTCAAGTGGTAGAACGCTAGCCTTGAGCTGAAGAGCTGAAGGACAGCGCCTAGGCCCAGAGTTCAGGCCCTATGCCCGGACCCCCCCAAAAAATAAAAAAATTAAAATAAAAAAAAATAAAAATCAAAGTAAAGGGCTAGGAATATGGCTCAGTGGTAGAGCCCTTGCCTATGCACCTAGAGCCTCTGTGTTTCATCCTCAGCACCCCAAAAAAATCAATGTCCTAAGTAGAGGCTTTTCCAGCCTACCCATATAATCAGTATTTACGCCGCTTGTCAAAGAGAAGTTGGCAGAGTGACAAGACCGATTGCGTACTTTTGTAAGAAAAAGCTCACAAACTTATTTGAGCCATGAAAATTATTAGTGTCACAATGCAGATGCAGCAAAAAATACTTTTTAGCTTCTTTCCTAAGTGAAAGAAGCTAAACCAAGTGGCTTAGAGGCATGGAAGCAAGCCATAGACTTTTGTGTTGGATAAGCAAGCTCATGATTAAGTTACCATGGTGGTCAGAGGGCTCAGCTGTGAGCCTCTGTTGTAAGATACCCCCCACCCCACCCCCAGCGTGCCTTGCCACACTGCCTGAACAGTGGGGTCATTGACCTTCTTGCAGTCATCAGTTGTTTTCAGCTGTGATGGGACCAAAATCAGCTGTGGCTTAGCTTGCCTCTTTATTTCTATCAACAGTGTGTGTTTGTTCCCTTGGCTGGCCCCGCTGCCCACTTCTGCTCCCTTCTGAACTCTCTCTGTAGTATTTTGATCTCGGGAGCACCAGGGGAGCTCTGGGATTTTTCTAGATGCCTGGAAACCCCACATGGGCATCACACTACTTGAATTATTCACTTGCTCCTTTACTAACTATACACTGACAAATTCCTTCTCTCCTAAGGTTTGTTTTTTTTTTTTCTTTTTTTTGGGGGGGTCTTTTTGTTTTTTATGGTCCTGGACCTAGCACCCAGAGCCTCATATGCTAGCTAAATAAGGACTCTTAACTTTTGAGCAACATTCTCAGCCCTGAAATGAAGATATTTTAGGTAGCATGTATTGATCAGAACATTGCATAAGTGTGTAAACAAATCTTTCTCTTCTATATTTCTGAAGATTTTCTATGAAAAGGAAAGGTTGAAGTGGTAAATAATTGAGTGATGGAAATTAAGGTAGCATAGGTGAGTGAGCACATGGCCCCAGGAGGGAAGTGTGAGAGACAGTCTTTTTCTGTAAAATAGACTACCGGATCACATATCTGAGGCTTGGGGTGGCAGGAATCCATAATTCCTGCCCTAGTCTACCTGTGTGTTCTGAAGCATGTCACTGAACTCTCTGGGTCCCCTCCCCCCCCTTTTTTTTTTTTTTTTTGGTGGGGAGACTAGAGCTTGAATATGAAACAGGGCCTCACACATGCTAAACTTGAGGAACAGGTCAGGGCTTTACAACATGTGAATTATGTTCTACATTGAGCTACACTGCCAGGCTCCACTCCATTTTTACAAATAAACACATTACTTGTCCACTTTACCTTGGAACTTGTGATAAAAGGTAAAAAAAGGTACAACTAATAGAAAATTTTAAGGAACTATAAAAATGCCAATGTTGCCCAGCGCTGGTGGCTCACACCTGTAATCCTAGCTACTCAGGAGGCTGAGATCTGATGATCTCGGATCAAAGCCAGCTCGGGCAGGAAAGGCCATAAAACTAACTTTCTTTCTTTCCTTTCTTTCTTTCCTTTCTTTCTTTCCTTTTCTTTCTTTCTTTCCTTTCTTTCTTTCTTTCCTTTCTCTCTCTCTCTCTTTCTCTCTCTCTTTCTCTCTCTCTTTCTCTCTCTCTTTCTTTCTCTCTCTTTCTGTCTTTCTGTCTTTTTGCTGGTCGTGGGGCCTGAACTCTGGGCCTGGGCTGTCCCTCAGTTCTTCAGCTCAAGGCTAGCTCTCTACCATTTGAGCCACAGCACCACGTCTGACCTTTTCTGCTTCTGTGGTGCTGAGGAATCGAACCCAGGGCCTCGTGCATGCAAGGCAAGCACTCTATCCTTGAGCCACCTTCTCAGCTCCTCCATGAAACTCTTATCTCCAATAAACCACCAGAAAACTGGATGTGGTGCTGTGGCTCAAGTGGTAGAGAGCTCGCCTTGAGCTGAATAGCTGAGGGACAGCGCTCAGGCCCAGAGTTCAAGCGCCATGACTGACAAAAAAAAGCAGCTGATTTTAAATGTACTCATTACCAGACTTATGACTTATGTATATCATCTTTACAATAAAACTTAAATTAAAAAAATAAAAATGCTGGTGATGCCAGCATAGAAAATGAAATGGTGAAAACATTCTTAAAAAACATTTAACTTCCTTTGCTCTAAATCAGGTTATTAAGGAACTTTCTTTTTTGGTTTTTGTTTTTTGTCAGTCGTGGGACTTTAACTCTGGGCCTGGGTACTGTTCCTCAGCTCTTCACCTCAAGGTAAGCACTCTGTCACTTGAGTCACAGCAACACTTCCAGTTTTTTGGTAGCTAGGATTACAGGTATGAGTCACTGGTACCAGTTTAGGAACTTTTATGTTTAAGGTTTGTTTTTTGCTTTTGTTTTTTTTGTACTAGTCCTAGGGCTTGAGTGCTGTCATTGAGCTTTTTTTTCTTTTGCTCAGGGCTAATGCTCTATTACTTACAACCCTACTTCCAGCTTCTTCTTTTTTCTTTCCCCCCATACTGGACATGAGTGTTTCCTGTCTAGGCTGGCTTTGAACTGTGATCCTCAGATCTCTCTTGCTTGCTTTGCTTTCTTTTTCTTTTTTTTTTTTTTGTCAGTCGTGGGGCCTGAACTCGGCCTGAGCGCTGTCCCTGAGCTCTTTAGCTCAAGGCTAGTATTCTACCACTTGAGCCACAGCGCTACTTCTGGCTTTCTGCTTATGTCGTGCTGAGGAATCGAATCCAGGGCCTCATGCATGTGAGGCAAGCATTCTACCACTGAGCCACCTTCCCAGCCCAGATCTCAGCTTTCTGAGGGGCTTGGTTTATAAGTATATTCTTTGTGTTTGAAATCTTATTGCCTAAGAGGTGTCTTCAGCTGACAATTAATCTGTCAGCAAAGATCATGCCAAATTAACACATTTCTGGTTTGCTAATTGGCTTGTATGTATTTGGTTGGTGTGGGTGGATTTGCTAGGATTTGACCAACATGGTGAAATCCTATTTCAGACTTAATCCAGGAGCCTGCACAGAGCCCTCAAGGTCCTTAGACAGCCTGGCCTGGAAGAGAACACATGAAAGAAAGGTCTGTTTCTGGTGAATATAATTCTTGAAGGTTTTTTAAAAATGAAAGCATGATCTTAGTACATAAAGTCTAATTTTCTTTTCCCTTTCAGAACCCCAGGAGGCTTTGTTTTCTGTGAAGAAGTATTTCTATACATTTGCTCCAATGACAGAGTTACCCGCACCCTTGTCCTACTTCCAGAATGCACAGATGTCTGAAGACAGCCACCTGAGCAATAGTGTACGTAGCCAGGTACAGTGTCAGCTTCTGAAACTTCCCTTGCCAGATTGTGGGCTCATTTACATTCCTTTACCTACAAGAGATGCTGAGGGTCTTGGCAGGCTTGTTTGCCAAATATCTGTAGGGTTTTGTTTGTTTTGTTTTGTTTTGGTTTTTTTTGCCAGACCCGGGGCTTGAGCTCAGCCTCGGCACTGTCCCTGAGCTTCATTTTGCTCAAGGTTAGCACTCCATCATTTGAGCCACAGCACCACTTCTGGCTTTTTCTGTTTATGTGGTATTGAGGAATGGAACCCAGGGCTTCATCCATGCTAGGCAAGCACTCTGCCACTATGCCACATTCCCAGCCCTGTCTGTAGTTTTTGAATTACAATTGAGAGTGACTGCTGTACCCTGTGATGCTGAGAGACACAGGGCTGGATTTCACTTACTTTCTTTTATGTTTCTTCTGGTGATTGAACTCAAGGCCTTCCTCATTCTAGTCAAACACTTTATAACTAAGCTACTTCCCAATCCTGCAGGGCTGTTCAAGACATGGGTGGTTGAAGAATTTTATCAGGGTGCATGAAAATAAAATAATAGGTTAAAAAATATTTTAAGGCCAGATACTAGGTGGCTCAGGCCTGTAATCTAGCTACTCAGGGGGGTGAGATCTGAGGATCACAGTTCAAAGCCAGCCCGGGCTGGAAAGTCCTTGAGACTCTTACCTCCAATAAACCACTAAAAAACTGGAAGTGGCACTGTGGTTTAAGCAGTAGAGTACCCACCGTGAGCTGAAGAGTACAGGGACAGCGCCTAAGCCCAGAGTTCAAGCCCTACTACTGACCAAAAAAAAAAAAGAAGGAAAAACATGGGGATTGCTACAGTTCCTCCTTCACATATATATCCCCTGTCCCCTCCTCAAATGAACCTTTCTCCAACTTCCTGAATCATAAGCACCTCATGGTCTATTTATTTAATCTTTTTTTTTTTGGGTCCAGTCATGGGCCTGGGCGCTGTCCCTCAGCTCTAAAGCTCAAGGCTAGCGCTCTACCACTTGAGCCACAGCGCCACTTCCAGCTTTTTTCTTTTTGCTTATGTGTGCTGAGGAATCGAACCCAGGGTCTCATGCATGCAAGGCAAGCGCTCTACCACTGAGCTACCTTCCCAGCCCTATTTATTTAATCTCTTACCTGTCTTACTCTTCTGTGGACTGAGTATTTCTGATTGAGTGATAGATTAATTGCTTGAGAGACAGATTCTTACAATGTAGCTCAAGCTGGCCTCAAACTCCTGCCTTAGCTTCCTGAATACTGTTTTTTGTTTTGTTTGTTTGTTTGTTTTTTGGTCAGTCTTGGAACTTGAACTCTGAGCCTAGGCACTGTCTCTTAGCTCTTAATTCAAGGCAGAATTCTACCACTCGAACAACAGCGCCACTTCTGGTTTTCTGGTGGTTTATTGGAGGTAAAGAGTCTCACAGACTTTCTTGCCCAGGCTGGCTTTCAACTTCAGATCTCAGCCTCCTGAGTAGCTAGGATTACAGGCTTGAGCCACCAGTGGCTGGCACCTGTGAGACTCTTATCTCCAATAAACCACCAGAAAACTGGAAGTGGCACTGTGGCTCAAGTAGTAGAGCACTTGCCTTGAGCTGAAGAGCTCAGGGACAATGCCCAAGCCCAGAGTTCAAGCCCCATGACTGACACACACACACACACAAAAAGTTAACAATATAATTTAAATTAAGTCAGATCCACAGGCCTAATCAGCCTCTGATGGTATTACTGTACTGTGTGTAGTAATGAAGTTGTTTTCCTACTTACGTCCAAGTGAAGTGAGAAAAGAAATGAAACTGTAGAACATACTGGCTTTTGCAGAGCAGTAATGTTGTAAATCGTAGACACAGATCTTTATAGTCTTTTTTTTTTTTTTTTGGTCCTGGGCCTTGAACTCTGGGCCTGGGCGCTATCCCTCAGCTCTTGAGCTCAAGGCTAGCGCTCTACCACTTGAGCTACAGCGCCACTTCCAAGGCACAGATCTTTATTAGTCTAGAAATAGTTATCTAAAGCCTAATACCACAGCCCCATACATGTTAAATATTCTCTAACCCGTTATGTCAACTGTTCTGGGAAATGACAGCCTTTCTTGGCTCTAGCCCGCTGGTTCCACCTCTGACTCAGGGAATCACAGAGCTGGGGCAGATGCTGGGTGGAATTCTGTTGTTGGAAACGTTGCCTACAATTAATAAACGTTTTCAAGTTTTCCACTTAACCTGCCAGTCTGTGGTTATGCTACTCTTAGGCTACTCAGTGCAGGCTTAGGCCTATGCATTTCTAATTATACAAGTAATAAAGTCTTATAGGATTGATTCTTTCCCCGCTTTTGTTTTTTGGCATTGCTAGGAATCAAAAAGACCTTGAGCATGCTAGGCAAGTGCTCTACCACTGAGCTACACCCCTAACCGAGGACCGAATCCTGAGGACCGAATCCTTTTATAAATATATACTCATTTTAGCTAAAAAATAAGACCATAAATCCATCAATATAATAGATTCTTATCTATTAAGGCATGTTGACTGTTATATGAGAATATGTGCATAAAATACTGTGATAGAGAATACAGTATTTATGAACATTCATTATAACTGTGCATGTGTATATATTGAAAAACATTAGAATTTGTGATGTACATTTTTTTATTTTAACTCAAGCTCATACTCAGTTTCACAAAATTATAACTTCAGTGTGGCAAAAACTTACAAAGTATAAAACATGAAGGCTTATAATGTATAATGACACAAAATCCTTTTGACATCATAGGAGCATGAACAATTTATGTATATAACAGCAGTAATTCTGCAGCTAATTTTTTTTTTTTTTTGCCAGTCCTGGGGCTTGGACTCAGCCTAGACACTGTACCTGAGCTTCTGTACTTGAACCTCAGCGCCACTTCTGGCTTTTCTGTTTATGTGGTACTGAGGAATCAAACCCAAGGCTTCATGTATGCTAGGCAAGCACTCTACCACTGAGCCACATTCCCAGCCCCTTTCTAGCTAATTTTTAGAATCCTAATAGGAGGAGCTGGAGTGAGCAGCTCACAGTAAACCATGTGATTAATACCATATTTGACTTCTGTTCTTATATCTAACTTACTTGTATGTTACACAGGTTTGGTGTAGTGTAAGAACTTGGAATACATCTGTAGTTTACAAATCCTAAAATATTTAATCAACAAATACTTATTGAACCTGAAATGAGTTAGGTGTTATTCTAAGCACTTCAGTATATTAATTGGGCAGATGAAAAACAACAAATCCTTCATGTATAGAAGCAAACTTCCACATATAAGATGGAGTGAGAACATGTGCATGATCATCTGGGTTTTGAGTACTGCTCCCATGGTGTCTCATGCCTAGTTACTCAGAAGGATGAGATCTGGAAGACTGAGAGGTTCAAAGCCAGCCCCAGCAGAAGAAAAAACTATCTGAATCTCATTCAGCAAATTGCTGGGTGGGGGTGTGGCTTAAGTGGTAGAGTACCAGCTGGGCAAGCAAGTGCAAGACTCTTGAGTTCAAACCCCATACTGAAAACAAAAGGCAAAGGCAGTTTGTTTTTTCACAAGTACTCGACTTTCCTGATAGTAAGAGGACTAAAAATAAAATTTACACTGAGATTCCCTCCTGTATTTTAACTATTGGGCATTTGCGAACATATTGACAAGGACATAGTGAATGAAGTAGACTATTTCCTATACTGGTGAATCTGAACTGATAAAGTTTATATGAAGAACAACTTAGCAATATGTTAGAATATGAAATCTACTATGACCTAGCAGCTATATTTGAGAGAATTTACCCTGCCACTGTGCCCACACACATTAAATGAATAATGATTAATTCATATGCTGGCTATGTGGTTGTTTAGAAATTTTGATAAAGAAGAGAATCAGGAGCCAGTTGCAGTGGCACATGCCTAGAATCCTAGCTCTTCGGGTGACTGAAGCAGGGAAACCGTAAGTTTGGAACCAGCCTAGGCTATATAACATCAGATGGGGTTAAAAAAAAAAAAAAAAGAAGGAAGGTGTTTAAAGTCTCTAAATCACATAGATAAGAAAGCATAGGAGCCAGGCATCTGTGGCTCATACCGTAATCCTAGCGACTCAGGAGGCTGAGATCTGAGGGTCACATTTCAAAGCCAGTCCAGGCAGAAATGTCTGTGAGACTCTTATCTCCAATAAACCACTAGAAAACTGGAAGTAGTGCTGTGGCTCAAGTGGTAGAGCCCTTGCCTTAAGCTGAAGAGCGCAGGGACAGTGCTCATGCACCATGACCGACAAAAGACAAAAAAAGACAAAAAAAAAAAAAAAACAAGCAAAATACGCTGGGTACTGGTGGCTCACACTTGTAATCCTAGCTGCTCAGGAGGCTGAGATCTGAGGATTGTGCTTCAAAACCCACAGGGGCAGAAAAATCTTTTGAGACTCTTTATCTTCAGTTAACCACCAAAGAGCCATAAATGGAGCTGTCTCAAGTGGTAGAGGGCTAGCTTTGAGTAAAAAAGCTAAGAGATGGTGCCTATGCCCTGAGTTCAAGCCTCAGGACTGGCACACATACACACACACACACACACACACACACACACACACACACACACAGCTAAAAGCAAAGTACAACCCTGTGTGCAAAGGGACTTGGAAAAGGTTTACAAGAGAGCAGTAAAAAGAAAGCAGGAGGAGGAGTGGTATTAGGAAACAAGGTAGATACTTAGGAGGGAGCCTTTTCTGCATACATTTTAGACATTTTTTAGGACCATTTAAGTATTTTACCTTTTAAAAACTTAAAAATAGTATACAAAGTACTGGTAAGAGTAAGAGTGCGAATGTGTAGCTTGGAGCTGACCCTCCTCTAGTAGACTGTTTTACCTGGGGGCAGGTGGGGTAGGGTTGGTCCTAGTGCTTCATAAACTAGAATATCTAGTGGAACAAGTGAGTGATGGCCTCTTCTGCCAGACTCAACCCTAATTAAAGTGTGTTCATACAG